ATATTTTTGTTAGCAGAGTTCAGTTTCCTGCTAATTATTGAACAGTTTAAACAGTGCCAAACTTCGCATTATTGCTTTCAGAGCATGCATCCTAAGATCAATAGCAAAATATGCAGGCATACCTGATAATTCAATTCAAAGATAACAAGCAAGTAAATAAAACCCATGTAATGAAGAATCAAATACCTTTCCTCCAGCTTCATGTACGCATATCACACCAACAGCATGATCCCAAGCCTATATTAAAGCAGAAGGTAAGTTAATTGTTGCTACTGAAAGTCTGATTAACTATAAACCAAGATTATACCTTGATAACTTTTTGAGATCTTGCTTGAAGAATGAAAACAGATGCTCGACCTGAAGCCACCATTAAGTATTTGCATAAACTGCAGACAAAGAGGAGATGTATGTCACGCACATGCAATAAATATTGTTTAATCTAGAAATTCTCATCACAAAGAGAAGAACTAAATGACAGAAAAAGAGTATAAGTGCTTTAGATAGAGCTCAATGGTAAATCATACAAGTAGGAAAACATTGTAATAGCAATGAATAAACACCAAACCTTCCGCAACATGTGGGCAAAAGACGAATTTCCTTATCACGAATATCATCATCAGCATCAATTCTTGCTTCATACAAGATCGATAAAGGCAATGACTCCCATGTCTGACTTTCTGGAATACAGAAGCGAGCTTCAGGTACCAAGCAACAACCATCAACAAAGCATCTGGTCCAATCAGATGACATTTTAGTTGAGCTATCAAGCACATCCTTTAACTTCTTTGTCCAAGTTCCACAGCCAACATGAGCAACCATAATGATCCCCGGTCCAGGTGAACTGTTTTTATAACCTTGGACATCAGCAGTGGACCTGTAGGAAGTATCCACAACCCAGTTAGGGCAGCCCAAGGCACCTAACACAATCTCTCCTTCAACTACAAGAGACAACCCAACCTGAAAATTCAGAATATGCCCTCAGCCAAGAAGGAGATAAAGAAAGATTGTGCTTATATTATAGTGGAACACCACGAAAAGCTGAAAAGATATGCATTCATCTAACAACAGAGAGAACAAGGCTTATACACATTCCAACCTAAGCAATCATCAAAAAAATCCACAGAACTTCTCATATGTTGATTTTATTGAAAGAACAAAACCAGAAAAACAAATTTTCGACTTGTGATTGAAATTGTGGTATGTATATAACTACATATTTTACAATTTTTGAGTGTGCATATTACATATGTTCCATTTGCATGTAATGCATGGTTCATGAACAACAGAATATTGTATATTATCTTGAATCCTGTACCATATCAGTAAGATTGTTAAATAAGTACAGGCCAATAACACTAAGGCACTTCTTTTCGATGCTAGACCTAATAAATTTTAGAAGATGTTTCATGGCACTAAGAAACATTTCAAATGAAAACAAGTGAATCAAAGCAGAATGCAAGCCATACCACATATAAGGCCTGACTTCCTTTTACAAACCCTCGCGTGCCATCTATTGGATCCAGTATCTGCATCAAGTTTGTGAATTTAACCATGTCAATAAAGTACAGATCCAAGCATGATCCAGACTACCTACAAAAATCTGTTAAGACTGCAGGCCCATTTATATGAATATCATTCACCGAGACCTCCTTATAACAGAGGTTGGCTAAAAATGAAGAATCAAATTGCCTTGAAACCTTTTATTTTTCATTTTAATCAGCAAAAGTCAAAACTGCAGTTTACGGATAAGTTTATGGAGATTGTAGGCATACCCAATATGTGGCTGGTTTTGTTCCAAAAGCAAAAGCATCTTTGCCCCCTCTGTCAATTGCTTCCAGCACATCAGCTTGTGACAATGATTCCTCATCAAAGCTCGTTTTATCAGATACTGCACTTACTACAGGATCCACCAGATTGTTTGAGCGTAAAAAACCAGAGTCCTCTTCCGCCACCAATGGAATAGAAGGGAACAATTTACTCAACTCTATCGCCAAAAGCAAAGAAGAAACATAAGCAAAGTTTCAATTATCGGATCAGTTTAAACTTTCTTCTTAGATAATCAAGCAACAAGCATACCCCAGGCTTAGGCAACATCTGATTTGTCATACATATCTTGCTACAGCATGCATCATATTTATCATAGGAAAAAAACAAAAGGAACTAACTCTACTTTCAAGGTGAATGTCAAAATCGAGAAAGCTCAAACAACATGCCAAATTCCAGTTCAAATCCTACTAATATGCAATATATGCTATAAAGCAAACACAAATTACTATAAACATTCAGGCATTAATGAAAAGAATACCTAAACTAACAAGAGCCTGGACTCCAAAATCTGCCACTGTGACCGGAGTTTGATCATTCTTTTCAAGAATCCGTCCTTCATCAGAAAAAAGTGACCTTTGAACCTGCAGTCGCAAAAAAAAAAAAAAAAAGCTAATTAACTAATTATAATAAAAAATGGAAAATTTTGAAAATTCTAAGAAATAAAATTATGACAAGTACGAAAAATACATTTGAAATGCAAGCAATTGAGTCAAGCAATGCCTAAAGATTAAGAGGTGAGTGAGATTCAAATTTTTTTGTGAATTTACGTCAACGCAAAGGCGACAGGCTCTCTCGACGACCTCCATCGCCGATTCAAGTTCTTTGTGATACTTGGCCTTCTCATTTGGAAAAGGAAGACTCGATCTGAAAGATTTTTGAGAAACACAGAGACATGAATAGTGAAGAAAAAGATTTAAAGAGTATAACTTCATAGTGCAGATTAGTTAGGTGAACAGAGTAGAGAGACCTTACTGGGAAGAATCGTCCGCGGAGAAGCGTACGGAAGGGTGGCGAGGAAGAAACGGACGGCGGAGAACCCGGAGACGAGTGGAGGAGGTGAAGATCCATGGCGGGAATCATGGTGTCGTTAAAGTGGAATCAACGGCGGAGGGAAAAATGATTAGTTGCTGAGTGTTGTGCGGAGGGAAACGGCAACGGTTTTCAACTATCAACGGTCTTTGACTCCCTGGTTGGTGAGCTGCGTGCATGAATGCCACACGTGTGGAGCATTCACTGGGCTGGGCAGACTGCGGACAATTGGGTAAACATGGGCTTAAAATGGTCCTGGAGAAATTGGACTGGGCCATTGGATTTTCTTCCATTTGGGCTTAACTTCCTTTTCTAAATGACATTAATGTTAGATGTGACAAAAGAAAATTTTATTCTTTTGAAAAAAAATTATGTAATAATTATTGAACCAAATGCTTAAATGATTGTATAAAATTGAACTAAAATCTTGACATGTACAAAGCATATTACATATAATCTCGAACTAACCAACTAAACAAAAAAATAATAAGATAAATAAATTCCACTCTAAAGTGGTGTAGTTTCAATTTATTTCAAGTAACATCTCGGGTTTTTTTATTCAATTAACTTTTTGAGAATAAATTTCATTCTTAAAAAGAGTTATGTACCTAATTTCATCACATGAAATTATTATTAAAATACTCCATATTAAATTATTTCTATAATCAATCATAAAAAATGAACAGGAGCCCCACTTAATGATCGAATGTAGTAAAACGCTCTCCTTTTCCGTCATCCTTCACTGAAACAAACAGGGTTTAGTCAGCATCAAACACAAAATATCTTAACTCAGAGTCTGAAATAATCCTAAAAGCCCACAAGGCCCTGGTGAGAAGCTTCCAAAATCAAACGTAGGCTTCGGGTTGTCCTTATCTACTTATCTGGAATCTTCATGCCTTGAAAAATTTAGGCGCGTCATCCATTCTTACGGATCAGACCCCACTTTGGGCCCCCCGTTTTCTTTTCCTTTTTTCACTCAGAATCATCACAGCCGCTTGTTTTACAAAAGCATCGGGGCTGCAACTCTTTGTCTATATATACACCAAGACCAAGGCCACTTTCTCCGAATATTACAAATTCCTGAAAAAGATCTCTCAGGGAAGTTATCATACGTAAAAAGTCCTCAAATCTTAGTTGATAAATCAGGGTTTTTGACGGTTTGAGAGTGTTTTTGGTTGTTGGGTACTATTGATGAGCTTGAGGTACGCGGGCAGGGTGTTTTACCAGGCGGGGATGAGGGTGATGCAGGGGATGAAAGACCAGGCATCAAAGTGTGAATCTAATCTGAGGTCTCTCAAAGACTCTGCTTCTTCTGCTTCTTCTTCCTCCTCCTCCAAGCAGTCACGGCGTTTCTCTAATTCACTCGATTCTGGGGCTTTCAAGGCTGCCAAGAACGAGAGGCTCAAGCAGGCAGAGGAGTCTCTCAGGACTGTCATGTACTTGAGTTGCTGGGGTCCTAACTGATGAGCACTAAATTCCTCATGTTTCCAGAGAGCTTCTGAAGAATATCAGACTAAAAACGAGAAAATTATATGTACATAACCTTTTTACTTGTATATATCGAATATGAATATGCAGTATCTGCAGATTTTAGAGCTCGACTGTCAATCTTAATTTCCCCTGATAAGTAATCATCAATCATGTACTTGCCTTTAGGTAACCAGTTAGATGGTTTGTTTAGTTTTCATTTTGGTCAAGGAGTTTAGCACGCCGTGTGGTTTGGGCTTAATTAGCTCTACAGCGTCTAAGACCAGTTACTTTGGCCTACCGTTTGCCTGAAGTATTTCCATGGAAATTTTCTTCATTTTACTATTCTAATGGAGAAAACGAAATTAGTAAATGTTAGCGGTAGCATCGATCATACCTGAGACAAGTTCAAATTTGAGTTTAATAGCTTTCCAGGCTTTTAACAGAGTTAATATTTCATGTATAACTCCATGTGATTAATATTACTTGTCCCTGTCATATTTGGGCTTCTTTTCCTTTTTCTTTTTATGATTAATATTGCAGTATTAATATCTTTCCCTTTCTTAGATTAATTCTTTTAAAACTCCATATGATTAGTGTTACACCTCATACCTGACAGGAATGGTACATGCATGCTTATCCTTTCTCTTAGAAAAGCATACAAAGAAGGTTTTTTTTTTTTAATTTTTATTTAAAAAATTGAATCAACATTTGGATGTAATTAAAAAAAACAATATCATCCGATAAAGTCGAGCAAAACAGGGCTGGGAAATAAGACTTTAGCCCAACTCCACTGCAGCCCTACTGACCCCGAGCCCCTGGATCTTAATGTCTAGACAACAGGCTTTGCTCGGATAAAGCCATGCTCCCATCTCCATCTCCACCACAAAAAACATACAAGGCTTCGCTTCAAACTAGTGATAAAACTTCTTTGTGTCTCATGCCCTGCTAGCTTCCATAATTTTGAACCTTGTTTCAAAATATAGACAGAAAGTATGATTCTACACATACCAGCTTCTGTAAAAGCTCCATTGCTATCCAGTCCTAGAAAGCTTCAAAAACTAACGAACACAAAAGCCAGGTTTTCACCAGGCAAGTTGTTTATCAGAAGAAACCTTGTCATAAGAGGATGTAGTAGTAGCCAAGGAGAAGGAGAGAAGAAGACAGAAAGGAGAAGTTTCTTGACTCTAGAAGAAGCTGGGCTGGTTGAGATATCTGGGTTAAGCACTCACGAGAGGTTCCTCTGTCGATTAACGGTATCCTCCACCTTAATTTTACTCTGTTCATGCAAATGTCGAATGACTAGGTGAAGTTACAAATACATGTTTTACGGTTTAACCAAATTGTAATTTGTTTCCAGATATCATCTTTAAATCTGCTAAGAGTAATATCAGAGCAAGAAGGATGCTCGATTGAGGAGCTGAATGCAGGAAGGGTATGTGACTGGTTTGTGAAGGATAAACTGAAAAGAGAACAAAACTTAGATTCTGCAGTTCTTCAATGGGATGAATCTGAATTCCCAATTTAAGCTTATGTTTCCAGGTTCATTATTCGAAATGGGAGTTCAGATCCTGGTCTGGGTCATAATCAGCTCAAACTATTGCTAATTATCCTTCATGATCAAAGCTATGTATGAAAGCTTTTGTTTTTGGGCCTGGATGGGTGTTGCGCAATTGCCTGTTTTCTTGTAGCTGCCATAGCCTGGTTCCTTGGAGGACCAATCACTACCTTGAATTGGGCCGTGACTTTGCTCATCTCTGCTCCACAAAGTCAACATTTTATAACCAACTTGCAACCGCCAAATTGAATTTCCGCGTCATTCCCACTAACAATATATTCATTATTATATCCTTGATTCAAAGAGAGTTACGCTAATCCCAAAGTCTAGCAACAAAAACTATAATTTCCCTTCCAAGTCTTGGGTTCGACTAAGCTATTGCTGTCTTCTCCTCCTTCTTCTCTTTCCCCGCTAAATAAACAAAACCACCCAATACGCGTGAATGTAGAATGTTGAATCGTAAATGGGCATAAAATTAATCCCAGTACTAGTTGACGAAGTTTGGAAGAGGCGAAGACTTTCAGATTGGGAAAAATCCAAACTTTGTTGTTACATCATCTCGAGGAAACACACACAGTGTGGAAAAAGCCAACTTTAATATTTAATAGGAGGAGGTGGATGGGGGGGCCACGAGCACCAAATTTCTTCGCACTCGCGCTCACAATTTCCTCTCAAATCTCTCAAAAGTGAAGTAGATGTTAATCACTTGAAAACTTTGTCATTAATCAAAACTAATCCCACCAAAAGAATCCATTAAATAAGATGTTAATCCAATCCAAAAACGTCATAATCGACAATACCCACCACCATTTTCTCGTCGTCAACCCTGGGTGTAAGCTTTTATTAGTAATTTTTTTTGGCCCAAGTCGTCGTTCTCGTTCAACATTGATTTTCCCAGGAAATTTAACAGAGGGGAGATCGGTCAAAGCAGTAAAAACTGGGAAAACAGTGGAGGAGTACGGTGCCGTTTTGAGGGGCTTGATCGTCCTCCCCACCCTGCCCCGTTAATCAAGCAAGAAAAGGTAAAACTTTAAAAAGGCCAAAAGGCTAATTAGGGGAAACGGACATGAAAGTCTTGCAAGTCAAATACAGTACAATCCATTGTCTGAAATCCGACGCGCTCTCTTTCTCTCTCTCTCTCTTTCTTTTTTTCACGAGTTTCTCGATTCAAATACCAGGGGAAAGTGTTTGTTTTTGAGTTAGATAACGCGGAAAAACGGTGCCGTACATGCTCTGTGAAGAGAGATGGCAATAGAAACTGAGCAAAAGTCACCGTCCGATGGCAAAGTTTGGGGATTTTTTAAGCTTCCGTTTCGGCAATCCGGGAACAATACCAGCACAACGTCGTCTTCGTCCTCGGCTTCCCATCTTTACGGTCAAAGTCAACCTAACGTTGAAGGATCGAACCATCAGGGCTCTGCGAATTCGGTTTCCTCAGTCGCAAAGTCGCTTTTGCCTACTCGGCGTCGGCTCAAGCTTGATCCGGGCAGTAAGCTCTACTTTCCATGTAAGTACTTCAGATTTTGGATTTTCCGTTTGTTTGATTGAAAAGCTAGAGCAGATATTTTGATGCTTATTTATGGAAATTGACAGTAGAATCAACTAAATTTGAAGAGCAAAGATTGCTTCGAATCAACAAATTGTCTTTTTACTTATTTTTCTTCGCTACTCTAATGATTTGAAACTAAAAGATCCTCTTGTTTTAACTGTGAAATGAAAATGACTGTTAATAAGGAGTGTAGAAAGACTTGTTGACTAAATTTAGAAAATTTTCTATTTCATTTATTTGGAAAGAAATTGCATAGAAATTTCAAGGATTGAGAATTAAAAGCTTTTATTATTATAGTACGAATTAAAAATGTAGTAATGAATCTCAGGTCATAATTTGCGTAATTTTGATTGTATATTTTGTTTTGTTTTTCCAAGATGAACCTGGAAAACAGGTGAGGAGCGCGGTCAGGATAAAGAACACGAGCAAGTCATATGCAGCTTTCAAGGTACACCTTAATTGTTCAGAACATTTCAGTTTTGGATTTGTTGTTTTTGTTTAATAATCCTTCATGTTTGGTATGTAGAAGTTGAGGCAAGTATGTTATAGTTAAATGTAGTAGTATATTATAACCACTGCTTTGATGAGTCCTTTTCTTTCTGTTGGTTTAGTTTCAAACAACAGCACCGAAGAGTTGTTTCATGCGTCCTCCGGGTGCTATTCTTGCTCCTGGTGAGAGCATCATAGCAACTGGTAATTGCTCTTTACACTCTTATGGTATTCTCTACTTTTGGTTCTCATATTATGCATTGGCACTAATTTATGTTTCTATTGTTCTTCATATCTTCTGAAAGATTCTAATGAATTGTCTTTTCCTGGTTTTGAATGGATGTACTAGTGTTCAAGTTCGTGGAGCATCCAGAGAACAATGAAAAACCAATGGATCAAAAGAGCAAGGTTAAGTTTAAAATCATGAGTCTCAAAGTGAAAGGTCCAATGGACTATGTACCTGAGCTGGTGCGTGTAACTTCTCCTATAAAACTGTATTTTTATATAATTTATATGATTTCCATTTTTACCTAGATGACAAAGAATAAGACTTTTTAATTTGACCAAATTTAGATGTTGATGAATTTAAAGTAATATTCTTTGATGCATATTATGTATGGTATATGTGGTTAATAGTTTAAATTCTTCTGCAAACAAGTACCTTTTTGTGGGATGACACTACGTATAAGCAGTTCTATAGTTTGATTGGCTTGTATTTCCAAGGCTTTATAATCCGAAGCATAAAATGTCACTATGGAACAAGCTTCTGTTATTCTATATCCAATATTCTTCTTTTCTGGATTTGTACCTGCTGTCTGCAACATAAAGAAACTACTGTGATTTGGGGCCAGATTTTTACATTTTTGTCATCAAAAGATAACCTGGTGTTGCTGTAAATTGACTTTTGAAGGCGACATATGCTCAATTTCATGCGTGATAGGATGAGAATCTCTTGTTGAAAGCTGATCTTGGGCCCATTTTGATAGAGGCATGCATGATTTTTCAATCATTTTTTGAGTTGTCTGGCTGCCTTTGTTTGATGCACAAATGAGAATATTCTCTTACCACCTATACTATTGGTGGTTTCTCTACCTATCTGAAGCTTTGTTTTTTCCTTTTGAGGTTGGATATGTGTAACCTTTTTGTGTAATTAATCTTAGGTGTCTGTTTTTTGCAGTTTGATGAGCAGAAAGATCAAGTGGCAATAGAGCAAATATTACGGGTTGTTTTTCTAGATCCTGGGCGTCCTTGTCCTGTACGTATTGTTAGCATCTGACAATCTTATCTGCAGCAATATGTGCCTTTATTCATGCTTGCTTCTGCTTTTAGACATTCTCTTGCATGTCAATACTTTCCATGTTCATGATGCTTGAAAATTGAAATGCACACTAAATTACCAAGTGTAGCCGTGGCAAACTAATAATAGCATATATATATTTATATATATTTATGGGTTTATGCCTTGTGAATTTATGAAGGCTCTCGAAAAATTGAAGCGCCAATTAGCTGATGCGGATGCTGCAGTTGAGGCACGCAAAAAACCTCCAGAGGATACAGGTCCAAGGATTATTGGGGAAGGACTTGTCATAGATGAATGGGTGAGTTTTCTAACAATCATCTGATGAAAATTATGCTTACAGTAGTTTTACTTTTATGGCATGCATTACTTATGACTGTATACCTGTCGTGCAGAAGGAGCGAAGGGAAAGATACCTTGCTCGACAGCAGGTTGAAGGAGTAGACTCAGCTTAAAGTGGTGGTTCTTCGTCAGTTGCTTTATCATGTGATTGAAATTTTATATAATCCTCTCTTATACCCCTCCTCAAATCTTTTCGAGTAACGCAAAGGGTGTTGTCTTGAAAGAATGATCAGGAAAACTCCTCATGTTTTGTTGTTGTATAAAAGTGAGCTGAATTTTCTGTAATTGGAGACTTGAAAACTCATCTAGTTTACCTTCTGCTGTGTAGATAATGTGATTTTGTCGCCTCCCTTAGGGAATAAAACTGTTCTTCACGGGGATCTAATATACTGAAAAGGATCTCAAAGTGAGTAGGAGTGTTCCGATGCCTATTCGACAATGTCTGCATCAATTATCTTTAGAATATGTTATAGCATTTCTGGTGTTTTTTGTCTATAATCTGATCATTTACCAAGCCATTTGGATAATGTTCTCTCTTGTTCTTCCCTATGCAAAGCCGGTGCTCAGTGGCAATTGCAGAAGACATGAAACCCATCGATAAAAGCCTTTTTCTTTCTTGGGGGCTGGGGGCTGGAATAAACTCCGGTTGTCTCTTGTACTTAAAAGGACGGATTGGGCTAAGGCGCCCACAACTTAAACCGTTGAAGGAGAATGAAAACTGTCGCCTTTCCATTGGCTTTAATCAGCAGGACAGCCAAGACACGCCAGTGAGGCCTCTCCGTTCCTCCGGTTTCTTGCCCTTTTTTCATAACTAAAAGTGGCATTGGCTGCTACGTCACTATCCGGAATTTTTCTTGTAGTTGTCCTTGTTTCCCTTTCATTTTGTAACATCTTTCCTTTCTTTACCTTCCCTGGTTTTACAGATAAAGTGATATGAAAGAGCCAACCCTCTGTGAATACCCCAGTTCGATCAATTTGCACTTCATAAGGTCACCTGAGCATACCTGCTCTGCTCAGGGATTGCCACGTTTTTCACACATAATGTTTCTGGGAAAAATGGACCGCTGAGCGAATCCCTATGGAGTCTGGACGACTCAAATCAATTAAGTAAAAGAAAAAATAGACGTCCCGCCACTGGTAAACCAGAAACCATGGTTGCCACATGTGGTTTTGATGTTGACAGGATCCTCAAAACCGCCATCCTCGCCAACTGATAATGTCCAATTGTTCTCTATATATTTGGGGTGTCCTGATCGTGTTTTTCCAACAAAGAAACGAGCCAGGCATAAGTAAAAGATGAGTTATTTGAGCAGAGTTTGCATGGCTGCTAGTGTAGCTGCAGTGGAAGGTCATAGAGATTGTAGCTCCAAATGGAATTCCGGTCTTCGACCTATTAACGCCAGCAAGAGAAGGTATGCTTCTACTGCTAGTTCATCAGATGATCGACTTCGTGCCAGGGGCAAACCCAAAGAGGATAATGGAAATCAGTCTGAAGAGTCTCTTCAAAGAGTGATGTACTTGAATTACCGGACACAAAGCTAGCCTCTGGAATCTGGATAAGCGGGAAGATGGAAATCAACCAATTTGACATACACCAGTTGGCAATCGCAACAGCCTTCTCCGTGGAAGAGATGGCTTGGAATCCAGAAACAGTAACCAGTGATCGCCTCCTTGTTATTCTTAAGGAGCATCATTACGTGAATCAGAGAGTACCAGACAGCCAAGAATTTGACATGTAAAACCTGAAATGTACACTTACTGTGAAACTGATGAAGAAATCTTGGATGGATCTTTCTTCTTTACTTCTATTTATTTATTTTGATTGATGAAAGTGGTAACAATTCTGTTGCTTAGCTCTACCCTTGTTCTGTAAGGTTTGGTTGCAATACCAATTTCCTATACCCAATTCCAAACTAATCACCTTTCATTAACTTAACTATGGAAAGAGGAATATGCCTGTGGCAATAGCAGTAGACACAAAACTTGTTTGATTATGAACGAATAGCCAATCTTATGAGAGATTGGTATATTCTGATTTCTAACACAGATTGCCTTGTGTCATTTTCTGATTGGATTATCATCGTTCTGATCGTCATTCCCGAATGATTATTTGTGCCTATCTAGCTTGTCACCAATCCCTCTCAGGGTCGAGCTGGAGCTGAACTATTAGGCTGTGAACCTTTTAGGCCGTTAGGAAAGCGATGCAAATTGCAGACCTTTCCTCTATGCTGCTTGAATATTCTTAATCCTTGTACTTAGCATTGTTTTGTCTTTGTCTAATCCGCCATGGAATGATAATAGATCACAAAGCAAAGCCGGCCTCTTGTTTACCAATTACTCAGATATCATCGGATTCTGGACTCTTGTTTACCAATTGAGCAATCACCACTCAGATATTATCGGAGTCTTGACTCTTTTGTTAGTCGACTTAGGATGAATTTTTGCTATAACTAGGAGTTTAATCCAGGAAGTTGCTCCACAGAAGAGCAGAACAAACAGGTTCATAACCCAAAGGCAAGAATAAGGATAAAAGCAACAGCAATGGCAAAGCCCAACAACAAAATTGCCATGTTCACCAACTTTGTCTTGATCGTTGCTCTTCTGGTCATTGTCTCCATGGCTGAAAGCCGAGAAATTGGGAGTAAGTCTCGAATCATAAACTAAAATCTGAAATAATTACAGCAAAGTTTCAACTTTCCATTTATGTTTTAGTATCAGAAACAAATCAAAATGCATGTAAAATATGCAGTTCTGAAGGGAAAGAAGAGCGCCCCTAGCTGTGACAAGGTCTATGGCGTAGCTGATGGCGACACATGCTTTGGTGTAACACAGATGTTCAACTTGACCACTGCATTTTTCGACTCAGTCAACCCAAATCTCAATTGTTCTTCACTCTTTGTTGCTCAATGGCTTTGTATTGCTGGGAGTGCATAGTCAAGCAGCTGATCCACCAAGAAAAAAACAAAGAAAAGTGCTTATGATTATTAGTCCATGAATAAGAAGAAAGTAAAATTTTCTTCATGTCCATTGCTTTTGTATTTCCCTTTTAGTATCCTGCTAGCCTACAGGATTAAGTGCCAGTAGCTATATTATCCCTTGTTCTTGGAATTTTCAATAGATTTCTTCCAACTTTAACTTCAATCTAATGATCATCTTTCTCTATATTAAGCACAGTCTTTTGCTTTCAATGTCAAGAAGCATAGCATTTCTTCGGCTCAACTGAATCAGGGGAAACGATTGGCATGATATATCAAAACTCAAAACAATCTCTAAAACCAATGGAATAATTTTGGGCAAGGCCATGAATCCAGATTTTACAACCAGGGTTCCGATTAGGAACTCTGAGCCCGAAGTGTAAGCCTACAAGACCGCAACTCAGGCCTTGCATAGATGAAGGCAATAGTATCAGGACAGGCCCATAAACGGTCTCTAACTCTTAAGAAATCCATGCCAGGGTTTGATACTTGATTGATTTTGACATTAAATGTCTGATTATTAGTTGAAAGAGTTTGGGTTTTTTATCCTCATTGAAATCATTATCCCAAAATTTGGAATTGTCTTAATGCTTCCAAAGAATTTGAATATCTTGGTGTGAATGTGATTGTGCATTTTTCTTGGTTTTTTGATGCACCAAGCTGTGGAAAAACAAGCACTGATGATGAATGTGACCAATGACTTTAACCTTTTTTTTTCCATGGTAAAGTGGTCCCAATCTTTTTTTAGACGGTTTGGGGAAGAAAGTGTGTTTATATTATCTTTGTCATAGTCGTTAAATTATAGTTTAATACAATCAAGATTCAATTTATTATTTTTATCAATTTATTAAAAAAATTTAAATATTTTAAATGATATGAATAACGATTTCATAAAATTATAACATAATTTTTCTCCCGAACATTTACTTGAAAACACAATTATATCCGTTGATTACCCTATAATCTTTATTACATGCTTGGATCATAAAATATTCCTCCGAAAAAGAATTGAAAGAGGGGGACATGAGTTCCATGTTGTGGTGAATAGGAGCATATGAGGGGAAACATGCTCTGTTCCATAAAGATGAGAGCGGAAAAAGAAAGAAAAGAAAAGATATGATGGGAGCAACAACATCTGAAACAAAGGTGTAGGCATATGATACCCAAGTTCTTTTATCATCACACTCTTTTGAGAGATAGAGAGGGACAAGTAACCAAACAAATTAAATTCCATTTATATTGTATCCATTTCTGTTTCCATCCTATCCAAGGGTTTGGGGGCTGCAAGCAAATTGCCCCTGGTTTAATAAATGTATAGTCATGCGATTCTCCTTTTTTTCTGTGGCTCATTTCAAGGCCGTGATCAAAATTGACAAGCCACCCATTGCCATTCCTATGTTAATCCATTCACCGTTACGTTTGTTCACCGAAAGTTCCTACAAAGAAGTCTCACGATTACACCTTGGAAGCAAAAAATGAAAAAGGGAAAGGAAATCCCACTCCAAAAGCATGTGAAAGCTTGATTCTCCACTCGGGAAAAAAGTTGTGGAAATCCTGGTGAGGGTGGTTTATCCATTGGTTTGGATAGTTTGTGATGAATTTTGCCTATTGTCCACTAGGATTTCAGCCAAGTATGCCGTTAGCAAAGTAAACAAGAAAAGATATGCCAAGGGGTTAGATATAGTGAGGTACTGTCTTATCCCTTTACATTGGGAATTTTTAACAGCAGAAGAAAAGATGTCAACTTGACAGAAGGAATATGGAATTTTATCCAATTCACTAATCAAAATTCATGTTGTTTTGATATTTGGTACCCCTTAGTTCCAATTTTGGGTTTTTTTTTTTTTTAAATTCAAGATACCTTGTTATTTATTCATTGATTCTGGTGTGATTTTGGATAAGGAAGAGGAAATGATCTTTGGGTACTTGATCTTTGATTTAATCAGACTGTTTAGACAGTTAGTTCAGCAGAAATTTGGACAAATTGATCCAAAGAAGCAGGTAAACCTGCTAGAAGAACAACAGCTTCAAAGCAATAAAGCAAACAAATGACACAAGCATAGACTCATTCAGATCCCATGTAACACAAAGTTCTGTGTTCATAGCATCAGCAGCAATGTGCTGAAAGACATGAGGCCTTTGCTCGAACCACCTCCTTAATGCAATGAGTGATGGCAGCTGGAGAATCTGCTGATCTTTCATAACTGCCCAAGGTTTGTTTCCTGGCATATGAAGTAAACATGAAGCACTCCACGCAATCCGCAAGAGGAGAATATCACTGGAACTCCAAATCCCAGTCTTCAGCTCCTCCGGGGAGACCACATAGGCAAAGCACCTGGCTCCAAACTTGTCTTGCAGCATTGGCGAGCAATTGAGTAATAAAAACAGTGGCGAGAAACCTCACGAAACTAACAGAATCAACCAAAATCATATGTGACGGCGGAAGAAGATCTCCTCTCTGCAAACGACAATCATGACAAATTGCATGGGATCAACCATATTTCCCTTAAAAGAAAACTCAAGTGTTCTGCTTTTCCATAACTCCTCATTCCTCGTTAGCTTGCTTTTGTTTTTTTTACAGGGGAAAATGGTTATGTACGTGACTCCCAAAAGCTTGCTTTTTTTTTTTTACAAAGAAAAGCTTAAGTTCAAAGTTACTAGTAGTAATAGATTTGGGCTGTTATATAAATCTTAATAATCATATTCACATCAAATATGAGATGTTGGGTATCACAATCTCAACTACTCAAAGACATCATTCACATCATATGTGAGATGCTGATATCACAGTCTCAAAATACATGTACGAAATAATTCATTTAAAATAATTAGACCAAACCAAATTATTCATTATATTTTTTTATCATTAATCCGAATCCATTAACGATAGGGGAAGAATATGCCAGACAGGCAAGCGGGTACAAAGAACAGCCACTCCTTAAATTAAGGCATTGATCTTTTCTAATCAAATATCTCATCATTGTAATTTAATTTGTCAACTATCTTTTAATATGGTTAGTTATGGTAACATGTGGCAATGAGAGGTTCTGGAGAAAATTGTAGTCCGACCAAATCATTTGTGCGGTGGAATTGGTAATAACTGTCCATGGAATTGGTAATCATAGTATTAAAATTTTTTCCAGGTGAAACAAAGCAGGAACATTGACAACTTTTTTAATCAGGAACAAATTTTATGGAACTTTGATCCAAGAACATTGAAAAGCCAATAGTATGTACTACTACCCAAAAGCTAAATTTGAGAACAAAGAAAAAGTAGTTAAACCAGGGTGAGTTACACATTCTTAGAACCCTGGCCTCCCTTGCCCATCTCCACACCTCCATTAGGGTAATCGAGGTCTTCAACGAATCGGGACCAGTACCAGTGTGACTTCCATACTTGGTTCATCTCTTCGATTGGGATACCCTTTGTCTCAGGCAAGAAGTAGTAAATAAAGATGGACATGAGCACCACGAAGAAGGCGAAGAAAAGGAAGAGGCCAAATTTCAAGTGGCAGAGCATGGTTAAGAACACTTGAGCCACGGCGAATGTGAAAAGCATGTTGACAGACACGTTGATACTTTGAGCAGCCGATCGGATTTCCAATGGGAAAATTTCACTGGGCACCAGCCATCCAAGGGGTCCCCAAGACCAGGCGAATCCGGAAACGTAAATGCAGATGAATAGCACCACAACAATGGCGTACCACTTGGGCAGGTCACCAGGGTTCCCACTGACCCCGAACTTAGCACCAATGCAAGCTGCCACAACAGCCTGGAAAAGCAGCAAAAGATAAAAATTTAGAGACACATTTTAGCAACAATTATTATCATTGACAGTGGCTAATTCCATTGTGAAAAATCCAAGTACCTGGCAGATCAACATTTGAGCTCCACCCTCTAAGAAAAGGAATCTCCTCCCCCACTTATCAACACCATAGATAGAAACCACCGTTGCAGCAACGTTAACAACACCAGTGATCACAGCAGACATGAGGGAAGCATCATCTCCGAATCCAATTGTGTTGAACAACACAGGAGCATAAAACATAATCACATTAATGCCGGTTAGTTGTTGAAAAAAGGGAATTAGGATGGCCATGGTTAAATGCGGCCTGTACTTCCTCTGCAGCAAGTTCCTCCATGGGTGCTCAACTAGCTTTGATGCATCACTGGCAACAACAAGGTCCCTAAATTCCTCATCCACATCGTCAATCCCACGAATCCTCTTGAGTTTCTCTCTGGCTTCCTCGGTTTGACCACGTTCAATCATGGAGTTTGGTGTGTCTGGGAGAAAGAGGGATCCAACTGTGATGATAAGGGCAGGGACCATCGCACCTCCCAAGCTCAGGCGCCAGCCCCATCCACCTTTGATCTTAGCAAAGAAATAATTCAGCACGTTGGCAATCAGGATACCAACCGTAATTGACAGTTGGAAGCCGATGTTCAATGCTCCCCTGTATCTGTAGGGGGCCATCTCCGATAGGTAGAGTGGCACAGACTGTAATAATTACAAAGAAACTCAATTTAGTAAACTAAATTAATTACCTGTAGAACTATTGTAAGTAATGTACAAAATGTCTTTCTCGGGGACCACATGGCTTTGTCAAGTTGTCAATGTTAATTTGGATTAAAAACAAAACCGAATTTCTTTTCAACACATTGAGTCACGCTTGTTGAAAAACGAAGGGCACTTATAATATTAAGCCACCATCATATCTCAATTTCTTATTCTACGCCCGTTGCATCAAGGAGTAAACTTTGGCGGAAAAATGGTGCGAAGAGATGTCACGCAAGGAAGAAGAACAAGCCATGGATGACCAGGAAAATAACACTAAATACAAACACAAGCAACGCTTTCAATTTCATTTATTATCTTTCATTAAAACCCAAAATGATGAGTTATTGCTGACTTCTCAGATCTCAAAAAAATGTAAAGCTTTAAGAAGACTGATCAGTTCCAGGGTAGATAAGATAAATCAAATGTGTTAAAAAAAGCCCAACAAAAGGTTTTATCCAGTAAAAAAGGAAACAAGAGCTCATATCTGGATCAGAAAACAAGTTTGTACAGACATGTTTTCTTGTCATTTTCCAAGCCATGTCTGATCTTGTTTATGCTCAGAACCATCGCAAAAGCAGATCTGAAGAGAAAAGTGTTGGGTTTCGAGAAAGAGGAACACAAGGAGACAGGTTACACGACAAAAACCCAGCAAAAATCTGAATAAAAAATGAACCCAAAGCACAGAAGGAATAAAACATTAACTTTTGTCACTGTTTTGAGACAGCACATTTTTTGTTCTCTACGAACAAGTTGCCATGAAACAAAACAAAAACTCAACTTATGGTGAGAGGCCCCATTTGAATACCAATCTCTGGATCCAGACGGGGAAGATGAACAAAAAAAAAAACCAAACACAAGATTGAGATCAAGAGCTTGGAGAAGTAGATAATGGTTTTTACCTGATTGGCAAATCCGACACCGAAACCAAGTAACAATCTGCCAACAATCAACATCCAAACGGCTTTGGCAAAGCCATTGATGAGAGCTCCGGCGAAGAAAAGTAAACCACCCAAAAGCATGGACAATTTCCTTCCAAGCTTACGGGTGACGGTGGAGGCTACCAGGGAAGCCAAAAGAGCAGCCAAATACAGTGAAGATGTGAACATCGTCAGGGTTTGGCTGTCATATTGGCAATACTGGTTCGTCGACTTGTCGGCTTCCTTCTTCTCCCACACTTTTCGGAAGAACTTTTGGAGAAATGGAGTCATAGTCGTCACTCCACCTGTCCAAAAACACAGAACAAAACCATTAATTTCTACGTAAAACAAACAAAAAACAAAAGAAACCAAAAGTTCTTTTTTTGATCTTCGAAACATTACCAGAAATCCCAATATCATAACCAAATATCAAACCCCCCATGGCTGCAACAATACATGTTACAGTGACGAATGGGGTAAGGCTCCCCGGGTACTCCTTGCCGGTACCCGGACCAATTCCTCCGACTGCAGGCATTTTCCCCCTCCCTTAACTCCAATTGTAAAGAAACTAACAACCCAATACCAGGAAACAAGAAGGAAATATATATAAAAGATTGGAAGAGGTGATTAACACAAGGAAAGAATCAAGCAATTCTAGGACTAGAGTGTCTAAGCCAAGCGAAAGAAGATAGAGGACTTAGAACAGCATGGGAGGTGTTTATATAGCGCAACAAAACGATTCACAATATTCTTAAAGAAAAGGGAACCGTTCAGCTGTCAAACAAATAATATCTTAATTTTTAATCAAAGAAAATTCAAAAAAAAATTTTTACATTTCATTTTCTTAATACGTATAGGAAGTTGTACTAGTAAGAAACTAGGAGAAATTTATGACCAAATTAGTAGTAATTTATTCTCTTTGTCCTTAAGTCTCCTTTGACATCCACCGTTTGATGGCCTGCAAAAAACAACTTTGGAATCAAACACCGTGGGGTCACTCCCACCAAAATTAAAAACTAGAGAACCCATTGTCAAAATTATCACCATAGTTTAAACCAAATTTTGTGTTAATCCGATTTTATCTTCTAATCCGAGTATTAAGTTAGAACACAAATCTTCTATCTTACTTGTTATCTTGTTTATTACATTACCGTACGTGTCTCTTAAATTTATCATATTAAGATATTAAGACAGAACAAAAATCAAAAAATAAAAAAGACAACTAAAAATTTGGGTTGGGAATTAATGTTTCAATTTGAATACAATGGTAAGAAAATGAGACCACAATTTAAGGTTGTGTTGGAGAGAAGCAGTCGGTGAAGGGCAGTTGGAAAGGATTAACTTGAACACGTCAGATATTATTCAGTCTGAGCAGGCAAAGGCAAAGGGATTTGCCCTCTCCACCTAATGAAAAATTTATATTTGCCATGTCCCAAGTTTTGGATAACGTTGGATAATGTCACGTCGGCTAATGTAATGAAGCGGAGAAAACGTGAGCTTAAAAGGCCTTTACAGCAAAGGTATGTAGCCATGTGAGTACACTCGGATGCGAGTATATACACGTATTTATTTCTCGTACACGTAGGCTGTAATTTAGGATATCCTGAATTCGGTTGACGTAGAAGCGTGGTGATTTCGTAATTATCGGAGAATTAACGGGTGGGGAGATTTGGGAGAGAAGATTGTTTATTGTTCTGTTCAAAAGGTCCTGGCTGTCTGTTCCCCGAAGTCAGGGGATAGAGTTAAGAGAGATTTTCTGTTCTGAACTGAGTTTTGCCTTTTTTCTGACAAAGGTGACCCTGTAATTTACCTAGGGCCCCCAGCTCATTATTTTTTACTGCATTTGTTTCATTATTTAAAAAAAAATTAAAATTAAAATTAACAGTAGGTTAATTGGATAAGTTTTTAACCCTTTCGCCTTGCTTGGAGTAAGAAGGTGTAACCTCACATTGCACTAGTTCTGTGTGGTACCTTACTGGAGGAGAAGGGAATTCTAATTACTCCATCACTACAAATTGTAAGACTGTTTTTTTTCCTTTATTGTTCCTTTTATACCATGAAGCATATTGAAATCAAAATTACATATGATAAAACGGTATTGGAGACAATAATTTAATGATAATTATACGAAAATATTGAAAATAATTGACGTTTTTTAAGATCAATTATTTTTGTTCCATAAGTTGAACAAATTGAAAGACAAGTCTGTCGACATTTATTACATGCATTTAAAATTTATTTCATAACATTATTATTTGGGGGGTGGGGAGGGGGGGAGTGGTCCAAAAATATTGACTTCACCTAATTTAACTCCTAGAAGCATTTTGGGCATCATGACTCCATGGTCAACCTATTGGAAAATAAGTATATATTTGAAATTTATTCATTGGATGTAAGATTTTTGGCTATGAATGCAGAGAAAAAGGGTACCTCTAACCCAAGTACTTCCCCTGTTCTTTGTTCCTTTTCTCTTTTGCACTCAACAAGTGCTAAAGCGGGGAAAAAGAGAGGGAGAGGAAACAAGAAAGTTGCACAGAACAAGAGCAAAAGGAGACAAAAGAAGAAAACATCAAAGTAGGAATACTGTGGGTATGATTGACTTTTTGAATTATTCCTTCAATTATGAACAATTGCAAAAACGATTCATCATCCATGTGGTAATGATTTTAGTAAGAACAAAGAAATGGGTAATGACCTATTATAAAACCTTGATCAATGATTAGTCTCTAATTTAAGTTGTAGTCATGATTTACAAACAAGGAAAAATGAAAAAGCTCAACTCATGGAAAAACTCAATTAATGAATCCTTAATTATTAGTGGAACACTATTTGTTCAATTTGTAGCTTTAAGCTTACTAAATTGAGGGGGTAAGTTAATAACAGTAATTAGTACCCTAATTTTTTGCAAAAACTTAACAAAGTGAAATGGCATAGTGCAATGAGCCAATGATGGGTGTGGAATTTTTTTACTTGCTTTTACAAAGGTGAACTACTAGAAGTTGTCCTTGGGAAGCATCCCAAAGGCACAAAAGTTCAGAAAAAGAAAATGAAAGAGCAAGGGAACAAACATACAAAAGAGGGAAAAAAAAGAGAGATTCTCTGAAGTAAAATCAAATCCCAGTGAGAACTTGTCCCCCATGAACAATGAAAGAAAACTTTTTTTTCATTCAGTTTATAAGTTTTGATCTTTCTTAGCAGATATAAACATGGGGGGTTTTTGTTTTTTAGTAATAATTGATGTCGTGACTTTCCAAAGGCATGGAACGAAAGAAGAAAAACACAGAAAGCAGACAGGCAACGTGACCCCGAACATTGGATTGCTAAGACTAGCACCTTCAGCTAAACTTTCCGAACCCTGTTTGCCAATTTGGCAGTCCCGATTGCACGCCCATGGTCCCTACCCTGAACCTTTGAATGACTTAAACCCATTAAAGGGCAAGTGAAATTTACCTTTGGGGAGGTAAGTCAAATAAGGTTGGCTTGACCCCAAATATAATATAGAGTGAGAGTGTGACGAATTTTGCTTGGTTTATTTATTTTTAAATAGAATAAAGAAAAAGGGAAATGAGAAATTGTTGGGTCAAGCCGTGCAAGATAGGGGAACCAGTGGAATAGGCTAGTTGTTAAGAAAGGCCTGGTCATTATCCAAAAGGTTTCTGCTGTAATCTTCGCTAACTTTTGGGACTATGTGGGTCCCTTGAACCACAACTCCGTTCACACGTGCGTACTTTCTTCAGCAACTATTTGGTCCCAGTTCACATGGATTTTCTACGAACACTTACGCACACCTTGGTATTTGTTTCCTATCGTCACATCTAAGTCGTTATATTTATGTTTATTTATTTATATTTTTATAATTTTAATTTTTTTATATGATACTTTATTTATATTCATCTTTCTTTCTCTCAGTTAACACTCTGCATAGAATTTGGCTTTCCATAACGATTAGTCTGTTAATTTTACTCAAAAAAATTATCAAAAAATATTTTTAATTCAGAATTTAATTTATTTATTGTTACTTAAAAATATTTTTATAATTTTACTAGGTAAAATTAATCTCCCCACATCTTGTGAGAGCATAATTTTTTCGCATTATTCTAATTGAGACAAAAAAAAATCACAAAATACTAATAAAGAAAAAGAGAAATCATAAGATATTGTAAAAGAAAAATTAAACTATGAAAGGTATAGGTGAAGTTCATCTTTTTAATTATCATTTGTGTATGAATTTTACGTAATATATTAAAGCATAATGCGAATGATCTGAATTGAAATTTGATTTTGTCTTTAAATATAATCCCTTTGAATGAACTTAATATTTATATTTTCTTTCCCATATGGAATTGTCAGTCTCAAATAGAAAAATTAAAAATATGATGTGATAAATTAAATCAACATCATTCATTCCTTAAAGCTATGACTCATCGCTACGTCATTAATAATTAATCATGACTACATCATTAAGCTCTGAATAAAATGATAGTAAACAGAAAACCTAAGCAAATAAATAAATAAATAAAAACAGCAGCAGCTTCACGAAACGCATTCAATTCCAAAGTGCCCGAAGCAGAGAAATGAGCGGTGGAACGCAACCCTCGTCTCTTTGGATAAAGATTACAGGTATGGTGAAGGTGGTGTGCATTACGGAGTTTACACCCACCCACCACAACTGTGCAGACTTTCGTTTTCCTAATGCTGGCAACTCCCTTTCACAAATATTAACGTTGGTATGGAAAAAGAGCGCGTTAATTGATAAGTATTACTTGGCCATTACAGGGGATAAGGAAGATGGAGAGAGAAACATAGCTGCCCTGCAATCATCTAAAGTCTAAGTCAACACAACACACGAATTTAATACTACCCTGTTTGAAGAAAGAAAGCCCAGAGATGAATTGAAAACAAAGCAAAATAAAGTCAATGAAAACATTCATAACATGGGGCGAGAAAACCAGAAAAGGGGCTGATGGGAATGGGGTTTCAGGTTTCAACACTCTCCACTTAAAGTCCGGGTGGGTCTCAAGGAGGCAGGGAACAGACCCCACAGCCTTTGCAAAGTCTTACCACGACGCCGCTGCATTTGGTTCTTCTAATTCTTTTAAGTCTTTGTTGCTGCTCTGGCTTATCTGGTAATGCTGGACCATGCTAAAACAATCATTCATTATTGATTCAATGGTATGGAAAGGAATCAAAAGAACACGTTTTTTGGTTTATCTTTTTGTAATAAAAGAACAACCAACGATCTCGAAAAGCAGAAAGGATTCTCAAATTTCTTTAAACGAAGTAAGATGGCCGTTGCCATGTTGACGTTGCTTAGGCCTTTTGTCTCTATCTTCACATGATCTCAGCTGTCAATTACCTCTAAATATATACATATTTTTTTTCCAGGAACTTGCGGTGTTCATGGTTTTCTCGGCTTCCAAAGTTTATGGACATGGGTGCTATCCTTCAAACCCAACGAAGTTCCAAGTCACGTCACCTCCTTGTAAATATTCAATAACCATGAACAGAAATTGATCGATATTATTATTATATATAATCAAACACGTACCTGGTAACGACCGAATTCTGCAAATTACAAACGGACAATTCGGTTTGCGCCGCTTTGGATTCATACATTCCTCCAGCGTGAGAATGCTTAACTGGTTTATTATTATAATCGCTATAATTATCTTTGTCAATGCTCCTACTATTAAGATTAATTTAATGGGT